ATTATGACATCTGATTAGTTCACGTCAGTGGAAAGGTGACTAACAACGCTGCTGACTGGCTCATGAACCTGACTTAATGCTGTTCGGGAATGTTTAAATTTTTTTTTTTTAATCTTTTCATCTTCAACTGCTGGTTCAAAACGTTTCAATAGAATTGTGCGTACGCATCACATACTTGTGAAGCAAATATATAACACCTGAACAAAGGGTTGGCAACACAAGAGATCAGAAAGGCACAGGGGAGGCATAATAAGGATTCTAAGAATTACAGCCCTGGGTAAGGACATTTTTATGTCTATGATCTATATGTAATGAGTTTGTGCTAGGCATTTTGATTTGAAATTGATTGTGCATTAGTTATTGTCATTTATTTTCATTTATTACATTTAACCTAAAATAATAATGGAAAAAAAGTTCTATTGTGATTTGGGTTTTTTTTAAATTTTTTTTATTACATACAAGCTCACTGCAGGTAGTGTTTTTAAACTTAAACCAAGACTTAAAAATTTACTTCACTGGCTCCTAATAATGATCTAAACAGTACCTTGTAAAAGTTTAAAAAAATTGCATGATTATTATTTCCAATTTGTATGACATAGTATATACTACAAGATAAATAATATTATTAGAAAAAACAATTTAAATTAACAACAAGTTAAATTAATAAACTGAAGTTGCTTTGTTTTCTGTTATATCACAACTTTTAGAATATAGATTTGTTTTCTGGTCACAAATTTCTCAATTAGAAACTTTCCAACCTTCTTTTTGTGTCCCAGAACACATATTTTTATCAGCCCAGTCTCACTTTAATATCCATGTACACATCCTGATGCATTCTCAATCATCCAGGACAGTAAATCTCCAAAAGTCAGTCATTATGCAAATGTATTGTTTATAAGATTGGGGAAACCTGCAGTCAGCTGAAACTGAAGAAGTCACTTGGATGAGTGACGAAACGTTTCTCCCACAAAACGCTATGTCCAGATGAACAGAATCAACTTTTGGAGATCCATGTACACAATTTTCCACTTTTGGGGGTTGCAGGGGTTAGTGGAGGCAGTGCGTAACAGACAACTACTTCTTATGTAGGCAGATTTATCTAGGAGTATAAATGACTTTGTTACTGTCAAATAATAAATAAATAAATAAAATTTGTTCCATTTTCTTTAATATTCTAAATATGCCAAAGACAATTTGACTTATGCCTATCCACCTGAGTCCATTTCAGGTGAATGGTGTTTGAGATCATGTCAAAACCTATGAAATTATGAATGCAGAAAAGTACTATCAGATTTTGATCAATCACGCAATGCCATCTGGAAAGTGTCTGATTGGCAACAGTTTAATTTTTCACCGTGACACTGATCCCAAACATGCATTGGCAAAGTGCCTGGAGAAAAATAAACAGCAAGTCCATGAATACACACTTATCAATAATAACAACTTGCAATTTATAACAAATATGCACATTGTCAAATATTTCAGGCCACAATGAGTGCCAGGCGAGGCTTGACTGTTTTGTTAACCATTTTGGGTAAGTAACTGAATACATTACAAAAAATCATAATACAGGTCTCAGAAAGAGAAAAAACTAAATGTTATTGTCCATATGCTCAGTTGCTGTTGCAAAAGCAGAAACTACGGCAACGACAACAGAAACTGCGGCTCCAACAACTGGTTCAACTGCAGTAACAAACACAGAAACTGCGGCAACAACAACAACAGAAACTGCATCAACAACAATTGGTTCAACTCCATCAATAACAACAGAAACTGCGGCAACAACAACTGGTTCAACAGCAGTAACAACAACAGAAACTGCAGCAACAACAACAACAGAAACTGCATCGACAACAACTGGTTCAACTGCAGTAACAACAACAGAAACTGCGGCTCTAACAACTGGTTCAACTGCAGTAACAACAACAGAAACTGCGGCTCCAACAACTGGTTCAACTGCAGTAACAACAACAGAAACTGCGGCAACAACAACAACAGAAACTGCGGCTACAACAACTGGTTCAACTGCATCAATAACAACAGAAACTGCGGCAACAACAAGTGGTTCAACTGCAATAACAACAACAGAAACTGCGGCAACAACAACAGAATCTGCAGCAACAACAACAACTGGTTCAACAACACCTGCTTCAACTGCGGCAACAACAACAACTGGTTCAACTGCAGCAACAACAACAACAGAAACTGCAGCAACAACAACTGGTTCAACTGCCCCAACAGTAACAGAAACTGCGGCAACGACAACTGGTTCAACTGCAGCAACAACAACAGAAACTGCGGCAACAACAACTGGTTCAACTGCCCCAACAGTAACAGAAACTGCGTCTACAACAACTGGTTCAACTGCATCAATAACAACAGAAACTGCGGCAACAACAACTGGTTCAACAGCAGCAACAACAACAGAAGATGCAGCAACAATTGGTTCAACAACACCTGCTTCAACAGCAGCAACAACAACTGGTTCAACTGCGGCAACAACAACAACTGGTTCAACAACAGTAACAACAACTGGTTCAACTGCAACAACAACACCTGGATCAACAACAACACCTGGATCAAAAACAGCAACAACAACTGGTTCAACAGCAGCAACAATAACACCTAATTCAACAACAACACCTGGATCAACAACAACTGGTTCAACTGCGGCAACGACAACAGAATCTGTGGCAACAACAACAAATGGTTCAACACCAGTAACAACAACTGGTTCAACTGCGTCAACAACACCAGAAACCGGATCATCAAGAACACCTGGATCAACAACAACTGGTTCAACTGCTGCAACGACAACAGAAACTGCGGCAACAACAACAACTGGTTCAACAACAGTAACAACAACTGGTTCAACTGCATCAACAACAATACCAGAAACTGGATCAACAAAAACACCTGGTTCAGCGACAACTGGTTCAACAGCAGCAACAACAACACCTGGTTCAACAAAAACACCTGGATCAACAACAACTGTTTCAACAGCGGCAACAACAACACCTGGTTCAACAACAACAACTGGATCAACAACAACTGGTTCAACACCAGCAACAACAACTGGTTCAACAACAGTAACAACAACTGGTTCAACTGCGGCAACAACAACGCCTGGTTCAAC